GAAGTGTTTAAAAAACAAGTAAATGTGGCACTTTGCGATATGGTTTAGTGAGCATGGTGCTGTTTTGTTGAAGATTGGACTTGATGATCTTCAAGTTCTTTTCCAACCATAATGATTCTATGATTCTAAATCTTTTTCATATTAATAAAAACAAATGTTATCAAAAGCACACATTGTGAAGACTGTCATAGATTCTATTGCAGCTCCAGTGTCTGGTAACTGCCCAAATTAAAAAGCAATGGAACAATCATCTCTAAATAAGCTGAGTTAGCTAAGAATAATGTCAATGTTTTTTTTACTTAGCAATAAGTAAATAATCCTTACTATACAATGTATAAAAAATAAGTGGTATCTCACATTGATTTCCTAACAAAATGTTATTCAGTTCCTTCTGTTATGTTTGTGAATTGTCTGAGAATTTTTAAAAACTTTATTTAGAGAAAACAAGTATCTTCACCTGTGATAAGTACCTTCAATTTTCTCAATAATGATTTTAAATTGGCTCAGTACTAGTAACTACAGACATATTTTCAAAGAACACTGCTCTTCTGCATTGCACAGATGATGTACTCAGACCAAACTCACAATCATCAGGATATGATCTGACATTACAGACAACCCAATTCAGTAATAAGCTTTCTATTGAAAGAGAGGGTTTTGTCCTCCATGCAGCAGTGGCTTCTACAGAGGAAGTTCCCTGCACTCACAAAAAGGCAGACCAGATGCAGCCAAACAATCACTGGAGCTTTTAGAGGGGCAGAAACAAGCAGAGACTTGTGGTTTGGAAGAATCAGCTAGCAGTGGGAAGCAAAGATTGACCTTTTGGCAGCAACTTACTATTAGCTCAGTTTATCTGTAACACTAAATTACACCCTCAGGAACTTAACTTGGAACTGTGCGGTGCTAGTTCTTTTTTAATGTACTACTTTATATGTAAATCTTACCTCTCTGAAAATTAATGAGAGTATGGCTATCAATTTCAGTCAGTCAAGATTTCCCTTCTGTACACTAGTGGCATGCAAATAACAAACAATAACAGATACACCTAGGTTGTTAGGCTCAAATAATAGGCTCATTATACTGAGAAGTATCCTTCTTTTTCAGGTAAAAACTCATATATAAAAACATATGCATCCCTAAACTATCAGTTTTCCAGAGGACTCCATGAAGAGCAGTAGTATACCAATTTTCTTGTCCATGTGAGGCAAGTGTCAGGATCTTCTCGCACCAAGGGAGACTCAAGTTGAATATACATACTTCAGACAGCTCATTTTAGAGAAGGAATTTAGGATTTTCTGCCAGACAGGAGATGGCAATGCTTCCTAAGGACTCCACTCACTACTCCATTGTCAGAGGGAAATAGCCTGGCTAAGTAACTAGGGCCCCACCATCTCAAAATTTAGGCTTCCACAGACCCTGTGATTTCAACTCTACCCATGGCTGAGCATGTAGAATGTCTGTAAGTACTCATATCAGCTGGACCTGCAAGATGAAGGATGTAGCTATGCCATAAAAGAGCTCCACTTCCTATGTAGGCTGAGGACACTATTAATCCCATAAAAGATAGGAATTTCAGCTTATATTCTCGTTTTGTCTGAAATATTGAAAAAGAAATTCCCCCCCACATTCTCGAGCTGTCAGTGTGCACTCATAAAACTTGCTGAATGTAAATGCTAGTCTTAAAACTTCAAGAAAAACTAGAATCACTGAGGACAAACTGCTTTAACTGAATGACATAAAATCAACTTCAAGTATATTCTCACATATATGAGAACTGAAGTTTGTCACTTCTTAAAATCTATAGCAGCACTAAAATTTTAGTGTTAATACTTAACAAGATTTAGATATAGTTAACTATACAAGTAAAGCAAAACTAAAAAGAAAACTTGATGCTCAAGTTTTACTGAGGATCATTCTGTGAGGAACTCAAAGATTCATTCCAAATGTAACCCTCCTACTTTCCTCACTTCCACATGTGTACTACACTCTGTACTGCAGTAGAAGCAATTTGCTTTAGAATGTGGCACAGGTAAGACCAGTACATAAAGTTACCAAGATTTAAAGTTATATGCATACTCTGCAAGTTAATTTAATCCGTAAAATGCATCCAGGGAGGAAGGAGATCAAAAACACCTCTTCTTATTGTGTTATATTACACTGTCTCTGTTCTATTACACAGTGCTATATTACACTGTCTCACATGAGCAATGGATATTACTGGAATTTCAGGTACACACACGTTAAAAACAATCAATAATGTTTTCAATTTTATTCAAGTAACCTCATTCCGACGTTCTGGGATTTCCACTGAAGAAGGGTATATTTCAAAGATAAAAGTATCTTGTATCATACAGGCATCTTTAGCAACAAGAAAAAGGCAGTGAAGATAAATATGCATAAGTAGCTTTTATATATATATATATAATATATAGAGAGAGCACTCAGGTTTGCTGCTAGATCATGGAATGTTTTTCTCTCATCAGAAAGAAAGCTGATCTACTTACAGATCAACAGAAGGCATGTGAAAAAGGTTGCTAACAATACTTCTTTTGCATGTAAGTGAGAGCAATTGGCATCCCATCTGGAAAAGCACACTACTCTGAGATAGAAAACTCTTACTACTGGCAAAGTTTATGGTATTAATTTGTAATGGTGGATTTAGGGAAATGTACTAAACTAATGCTCATTTACTTGCATAATTATGTGTTTTCTGCATAAAACGACAGGCTTTTACCCTGTCAATACTGGCCCTGAGTTAATAGAAAACAGGACAAGGCGGGTGTACAAGGAGGCCAGCGCTGAGGAATGTCAAGCTCAGGTTACAGATTTGCTTCTTGCATTAAGATCTGTACAATGTATCACCTAATGCATTACATTTCAGACTCTTAAATATGTTATTTGAAATGTTTTCATTGCAGTTTAGCTTTGATTATTAATCTAAGAGGCAAAAAGTTAAACTGTATCTTATCTTCTTTGCCACTTGATATGTTAAACAGCCTTCATACCTTAAATCCACTTTAATAAGGCATGCAATTATTAAAGCATTACAGAATGGCCCCAGAGCACAAAAGCTCCATTAAATTTGCTTACATCTAATTATGTCTGCCTGAGGCAGGTGAGAAATTGACTCTGATAAGATCTTTCTTTTACCTGTAGCCAAAAAAAATAAAAAGGAAAAATAACTCTGAGTGATTTTCTATCTAATTGCTATCTACAAGTATTTATGGTATTCTCTCTTACAATAAATAGCCCACAAAAGCACTCTTTGTGCACTAACTAGCTAATTCTAAGTTTTTTTAAGACTGTAGAATACAAAAGACAAGCTTATCTTGCATCAGGCATAAGACAGGTCATCAATGATGTCTACTTCGGAAATAATTTTATCTATTAGATGATGTCTACGGAAATAATTTTATCTATTATTTAAATCATATACTTTCTTTAAAAAATAATTCTGATATGAAAACATAAGTTACATATGCTTTATTTTTTTCTTCATGTTAGTATAAGCAATGAAAGTATTCTATTTTATGGAAATATAACAGAAATATATAAATGTCATTTACATGGCCTGAAAAATATTATCTTACAAATGTTTTGTTTTGTGTTTTTTTTCTCAGTGTTAATTTAAAACTGAGTGTTTATAGTAGAAAACATTGCATTCAATTCCTATATATTTGTAACTGACCTCCCAAAATTCAGGAGAAAGCTATTAAATTCACTGCTTTTTATCTATAAGTGAATGAGGGACTGTGGTATTTCTAATCATTCTAATCCTTCTACCAGCCCTAGCAGATCCTAGAGAACAACACACCAAGACCATCATAGTGACAATGTCAAAATTAGTTAGAAACTATACTAGCTAAAGAGGAATAAATAAAATAAATAAAGGTGTGTTTGGTTTTTTTTAAGTAACGGAATTCATCCAGTCTAAAGGGATTAGAATTCAATTCTTAGTTGATAATTAAGGAGAAATTACTTGGTTATAAAGCATTCTTTGAGGGAGACAGACATGAGGTATTTGATGGGAAAGCTGCCCAGAGAAACCAGCCATTGGACTTCTAATGCAAGATTATACAACACTACTTTTCAAACATACATCTTTAACCACTGATACTGCTTATATGATACATTCTTTGGTAGGGTGGACCACAAACCTATAGTCAACCTAGAAAGAAAAGGTCCTTTGGTCACACTTAAGGCTTAAAAACTCATTTGATACTCTTAAATAGAAAACTACATAAAGGCTTGAAATAAATACATTATACCATTAACACATTTCTCATTTGCTCCTTTGGCTTTTAGAGTACATCATTCCATAACACTTCCTATAAAACTTCATCTGACCTTATCTTTACATTCAAGCAATAAACAAACATGTTATCTTCTGTGTTGTTTTGCTTCATTATACAAACCTCATTTTACATATCTGACAATGAAAAGACGTTGATTTTCTGATATGATAAACAACACTACTGTAAATATCATATTTTGGAATTAATGATGAACTATTTCTGTTTGCTATTATGCTTTACCAACTCAAAGACTGTTGTTATGCAAAATATTTTGGCCTCATAATTACATCTTGTTTGATATTAACTTGTTGTATTTCTATTAATAGTTTTGAGTTTGCTTTATAATATTGTCTAGTCATCAGTCTGCATCATCTATAAATGACAATACTGTGAACCACTGAATTATGCATGTTTTATACTGCAAATCAAAACCAAACTAGAACAAAAAACTACAAGAGGAAATATGTTAGGAAAAATGACTTTTCAGCTTTTCCATGTCTCCCTGAAGAACGTTTTGCATCCTGCTAAATTAATTATTCAGACATGATGACTGTTACTGAGCTATGTAATTATTTTTTTCAATTTTCTTCATATTAACACTTCATATCCTAAAATATAGAAAAGAATTCTGTTTTTCTCCGTTATGTTGTGCATTTCTCCATAGAAGTTTCAATAGACAATATTGCTCAGAATCTGAATACATACCAAAAGCTGCCACTTTTATGATTATGGCTTGAATGTTAGATAATATAATTTCTTTAAGCAACATTTCCTGGTTCCAACGCCAAAGGTAAGCTAAAGGCTGAAGATTAAGCCTTCTGCACCTTAAAAACAAACAAAAAATTGGATAAAACCAAGTGTTATGCTTTTACATAGCATGATTCATGTAAAATGAATGAAAATTTTTCTTTTCCTACATTTAAATAATTTTTCTTCTATAATTTATATTGCAATACTTTACTGTTCCTATATTTCACCATAAACATTAAGTCTAATACCAAAAAAAAAAGGAATTAGCCTATATAACAGACAAAATTTCCATTATATAATTCCCTTTTTTAATTAAGACTGTTAAAAGAATTACAATCTATCTAGACCTTAGAGTGTGCACAGTAGAAATGACAAATGGAAGCTCCTGATTAATGATAACAGATTACAGATTTTAAGGAATTAAGGGAAGATATGCACATAAAGATTCTCTCACACTGAATTCCTGATAACAGGATGTTAATCTATATTGTGAAAAATAGAGGTACTTGACCACAACACTGTAGTCATTCAAACTGAGCAAGCTTTCTATTGAAATCAAGGATCTGAACCTACTCAACTATTTTCATATCAAAACTGAGTATTTTCAACAGATCCAGAGACCTGAAAAGCAATCAAAAACCTGGTAAAGTCTCTCTAGATTTTTACTAATGAACACATGAGTTTAGGGTAAAAAAAAGTGAAAAAGAAAACTGACTGCATTGGGTGTCATAGAACATGAGAAATAAGGAAACTATCTCTGCTCCCAATTTGAGTTAGAAAACAAACAAGTACTTTCCCAAATACGTATTCTAAAAAAGATTAATATTTTCTTACACATCTTCAACTCGAACTCTCTGGTAGTCAGAAAGAATGGCTCCCACAGATACGCCCTCCACTCCTTCTTTGTCCTGAAAAAAGACATGGAATATTAATGACAGTAGTATATGATGATTTAAGCTATAGAGATTCAGTATCTCCACTAGCAGAACCAGCCAATAATATTTTTTTTCTTTTTCCAGCACATGGAACTGAATAGGTTGTAATGCAAATTTTGCACAGAAGAGAGCAGCTCAGCTGACCTACTAATGGTGTAACACAGTAAGCTACTCAAATCAAGTACCATTTTACTGAAAAAATAACCAAAGTAACTGAAAAATATTAAACAGATTATCCTAAAGTTTTCCTGACATCCTGAAAATTCCTTCCAGCTTTTCACTATAAGTGAAGTATTACCTATCCCACCTACAAATAATTATCAGCAACATACAATCATGACAACTAATTAAACTGCTGGCATTTGTCACAGTACAAAGGCAAGAGGTTGTGAGACTACTCTTTTTTATCGTAACAACAGAATAAGAAAACTCACAGGTAACTTACTCAGCATCACCTTTTAAAATTTCCGCTATAAAACAAGGTTTTCCAACACACATTTTCTCTGTTTCATTTCAATTACCGTAAGCCAACAAACAGCACTTTTTCTTTTCTTGTAAACACACTGAGAATGCAATATTTGAAAATGCACAGTTCCAATATTTTGTGAGCTCTTGCATTTTTAAGTTGCTTAAGTCCCAATCAGCATGTTGAGTTTACTTTGTTTCCCTAAAATATGCTCCACCTAAACTGCAGTAAAAGTTGTTTTCCTCTTTTAACCAAGATTGATCATAACTGCAACACATGACTTATTTTCTGGACCTGCTCAACTAGACCGCAATCCTGTGAAGTTTGGAGCAAAATTTCACCGCAAAATGTTCAACTACATACATATGCATCCTGCTCCACACCTTTCTCCTTGGGCCTGCTCTATGATCTCATGAGCTCCTGCTAAGCCATGACTGAGCAAGATGAGCAGTGAAGCGTATCAGTTGGGTGGTGAAGCCTCCCTGACTGTACCAGTAAGTCTTGCATGGTAAAGGTGGGAACAATTCTGACTGTAACATGCACATCAGCTGCCTAGGCAAGGTGGAGAACAAAGGGCAAGTCATTATCCTTGTCAGTCTTGGTAAATGATTTACCTGAATAGCAGCCCAAGTGAAACCACACCATTGTTACAAATTTCAAAATCAAATCCATCTTTGCCTGATGTGGTACTCAATTTAAAATTCATTTCCAATTTATCAATAAAAACATGCAGAAGGTGTGTTATTGAAAATTATAATGCAGTGAAACTAGATTAATCTCCATGCTAAATAGATACACATATCATACATAGTTTTCCACATTCTTTTATGAAAGAATCATCGAATGCTTTGAGTAAAGGAACTTAAAGATCATCTAGTTGAATACCCTCATCCATGGGCAGGGTCACCTTCCACTAGATCAGACTGCTGAAAGGCCCACACAGACTGGCCTTGAGCATTTCAATGATGGTGCATCTACAACTTTTCAGAGCAACCTGTTTTATAACACACACATTTCTTATCGAAACAAATAAGATGCTTATTGCTATCATGATAATATTTATTGCAATGCATTGCAGACCATTATACTACATTATATATATTTCCATCATATTTAGTCTTCTTTCTCTAAGAACAGGAAATAAATAGGTGGATCAGAGATGCAAAAGTAACTATATAACAAACTTTAAAAAAAATTATGTATCCTCATAATAAACAAATATGAAGTGAAACCTGTAGACTTCCATTTGTAATTTCCCAAATACACAGATTTACAGAATCTCCTGTTCATCGATGAAGATGTCAACTGACTTTTTTTTTAACAAGTTCACGGAGCCATAAAAATATTTTTTATTCATTCTGTTTTTCAAGTTCTGATAAACTGACATAGGCTGTTGGCTTAAAACCTACGTTAAATCTGATTTAAATAATAACATAAAAGATTGTCTGCACTTATTCTACCTTATTTCCTTTCATAATACATAAGTTTTAATCATCTTTTGAAATGGCAGTAGATAGTATCATTTTGCGCTTGTGGTTAGCATTTGTGTTTAAAACATTCTCATAGCAAGTTATTCACCACCATCACTTTTCATTTAGTTCTTCTAATGGTAAAGAGCAAATATAAATTTCCAGACAGCAGATTACACAAGGAGAAACATCAATATACTTAATACATGCTTTGAAATGGGAGAACTAGTTCATATACTTACATACCATGAAATGTAATAAATTCAATCCCCCTATTTCGTCCAGCTCAACAAATCAAGGCTGGAGTGTCACAAATTCAAGAAATAAGGAGATTTGAAAGGAAAAAGGATGGACTATGAGGCGGAACAGAAAAAACTACAGTCTAACCACCTTTATAAACTCCTCAACTGGACAAAGTTTACATAAAGCCTCGCCAGACAGTGTATTCAACTCAACAGTTGAAGCACGCAAAGGGTACTAACTAAAAACATGTTCCTCACTGCATTTACTCTTTGGTATTGAAAGAGTTATTGGACATCTTGCAAACAGCATTTTTGTTTGACTTAGAGTTGACCATGGTTAGGAGAGAATCCACCCCAGAATTAATAGTGCTTTCACCTTTTAATGTGGAATCTGATCAGGTTTGGTCCCATAAAAAGCATGTTCACAAAACTGCACAGGTAAAGCAAGCTGGCATCTCCAGGTTAAATATCAGGGATCCGCACTGAGCTCAAAAGCCAAGGAAGTGAATTTGGGGAAATTCAGAAAGGAAGATGCTATATAGCTCTATCATATAAAAAGTAACAGAGGACAGAAAAACATCTGAGGGAAGTTAATAAAGAAGGGTGTGTTTTTTTCTTGGGTTCTTTGGGTGTATGGGTATTTTTAATTATTATTATTATAAAAAACATCACACTGTAGATTTATGAGATTATTTAAACTCTGCAAAACTTTACTAGTATGTTGTTAGTGCAATAGGCTTGTCTAAAATAAAAATAAATTGCTTCTCTGAAATATTTGGATAATACAGAGGGCACTTTTACAGTAGAGTATATTCTGTCACAAAGCATGAAATATACACACACAAAAAAGATGCTAAACACAGATGTATACAGATGCTAGCACACTTTTTATTTTTCATATGACATCTTAGAACTTATTTTTCCCCTTCAAAACTACTAAAACAACTCATTTCAAAAGGCATGTATAAAAATATTTTTTTAAAAGCAACTAAATAACACAAAGTTTTTAGTAGCTTTTTTTTTAATGTACCTAAGATAATTATTAGCTATGTTTTAACTGTAAGTGAAATTACACCATTATTGTACGTCTTGTTATAACCACTAATTTATTCCTGTTCACAGGACAAGAAAAATAATCTTCATGAACAATTGTGTTAGAATACCAAATTGATCTTCGCAACTGTAACTGTACTAAAGGGTACAATTTATGTTTAAAGCATCCTAATTTTAAAGTTATTTATTATTTTAAACAGTTTAATGAATAGCAAAATTCAAAACTGCTGCTCTATGTTTATTATAAATTACTTTTAGTTGCATTTCCTGTCAGAAAGTACTATAAAAATTTAATATTTTTGCAAAAGCTCCAGAACATCACTGCAATGATGTTATGCGGTTGTTAAGGTGGCTTTGTTATACCAGAATACAATTCTAACATACTGCTTCACAGTTAAAGTAAAATATAAACAGAAATGTAAGATTAACTTATACCAGCACCCTCTTGTTTCAATTTTGATTTTTTTTTTATTTCAGTGACTGAAATTCAATTAAGGATAGTGCCTATTTTGAGGAAATGCCTACATATGCATTGTAGTATACAATACTGGTAGAAGTATTCTACTAGTAAGTAAAAAATTTATTGCACTAGTATTAGTACAGAGGTTTTCTTTAATTTCACATTTTAATGTCTTTACTTGACCCTCTCACAGTTCAGCAAAAAAGAAAATTAGTGATAATGTTTTCAGTTTAATTAGTGTATTACATGCACTGTAACTATTAGTGAGAAATGTTATATTAATGAACATAAAAGTTAGCTGTAAATTACCTCAGAGTTATTATCAATTTCCCAAGTTACTGCTCCTTAAGATAACCCTCTCCCTATGGTCCTTCCAGTAATTTTTCTTTGCCTGATAAACATGATGATTAAACAGCACACAGTGCAAACCTTTGATACTTTTTAAATTAAATCCATGCCCAGCCTAAGGGCTGTGTCTGATTTCAACTAAATGTGTCAGTTAATCAGATAAAAAATTATCAGCAACTCAAAGAAGCAGTAGCCTTAGGCTTCATCAGTGCCAGAGAAAGCTGAACAAAATAAGACATACAGACAATATCACATTATGAGTAAAGGTTACTGCTAAGCACGTCACTGCACAGAACTATTCACCACCTTAATAATGTCTCTCTTGAATGAAATATAGCATACAACAGCTAAAATAATAACAAAGAAAGGAAAGTGGTAGACCTGTGCCTATATATGCCTGTTCATGTGTTTTGCAAGAAAATTCGAATGCTGCCATTCAAAAAAATGCAAAATATCCCTAAAAATTTACTGTTTAGAAAAGATCTTTGCAAGAAACTGAAGTATGAATAGCTGAAGAATGGTTAAACTAGATTTAATTTTTAACATTTGTTTCACAGATTTGCCACAAGAGTTCATTTGTAGGACTAAGATATAAAATATAGCATATCTAAATGAAATTTGTCTTTCCAATTACTATCCTCCTTAAAGCTTGCATGAGTAAATTCAAATTAAAACACAACATATTTGCAGGTGTGTGACTGACAACATACACCTTAGTAACAGGATTTTTATTTAGGCTTCTGCAACTATTTGAGTGGAAAATTCTTAAATATGAGCTTGCCTTATAATTTGTGAAACATTCTAAGATCACTGATTATAGTGATTTAAGAGTATGTGATTTTTTCTAAGCTTTGATACGCCTGTCAGATGCAGCTGCAAGTAATCAAAGACAGTATGGGAACATCCCTGAGACATAAGGATATAATAACTCTTAT